CTGCCGCATTTTCACAGCTCATTCCTCCCTCTCCTGCAACTTATGTGGCGCTCCTCCACCTCTGCAGGTTTCGGCGGGTATTACAGGGGGAGGTGGTTTGCTGCTGCTTGGCCCTCCGAGTTCGAGTCCCTCGACGCAGAGTCACGCTCTACCTTGTCTGCTCTGTACGAGCTGTATCCTGTGATCATCACCACTCTAATCTGGGGACACGAATGGTCTAAAAAAAATGCATCACTATTCACTCTGACAACATAGCAGTAGTAGATATCATCAATAAAGGCCGTTCCTGTTCCCCAGCCATCATGCCATTCACCAGCAGATTCACTCTCATCTCCGCTCAGCATCAATTCATCCTCCATGAGTCTCACATTCCCGGTCACCACAACACCATCGCTGACTCACTTTCCCGCTTCTCTTTCCAGAAATTCAGGTGCTTGGCTCCAGACTCGGATGTCCATCCCACACCAATCCCACCGTTTTCAGCGACCATATTCAATTAAATCCTCATCTGGCAAATCTCACTCGCACCTCCCAAGAAGCCATCATTAACAGTTTAGCACCAAGCACGCTATCTGCTTACCTCACCGGCTGGAATTCTTTCAAGAATTACCACGCCACTTATCATCTACCATTTCCTTCTCTGGACGCCATGTCCATGTGCAACTTCATCACACATTGTCATACTGTAACAAACATCCGGGCCTCCAGCATACAAACATATCTGTCTGGTATCAGTTTATTCCATAAATTATCCACCGGCCTCCCTTGTCAGTCAATCTCGCACTCTCATGTCACCATGCTAATCAAAGGCTTATGAAAGCACGAACCAGCACCGACAGCCAGACGCCTTCCTCTCACCTCCGATCTGCTCTGCCGCTGCATACGCACTCTGCGCTCTGGTTACATTTCTCCCACAGTCGACTTAACACTGGAATCAATGTTTCTACTCGCTTTCTTTGGATTTCTGAGGTGCTCTGAATTTGCTCCAACCTCATCCTTCCTTCCCGTCATCCCATTCTATCCGACATCACCACTCACACTTCCGACTCGCTCATATTCACACTCCGTAGGAGTAAAACCGATCAGTTTGGAGTATCCTTTCCCATCAACATCTTTCGCCTCAACTCCTTTCTCAGCCCGCACGAGCCACTGACCAGATACATCCACACCCGGTATTCTGCCCGTGCTTCACCACAAAATCCCCTCTTCCTCACCGAAACAGGGAGGATGGCCACCCGTTTCTGGTTCCAGAAACACTTCCATAATATCCTCCGTTTCTCCGGAATTTTATCAGATCATTACTCTTGCCATTTGTTCCGTATCGGCGCTGCCTCCTCAGCCGCCAGATCGAGAATTTCAGACCAAGTCATCCAGGTCCTCGGCCGCTGGTCTTCACAAGCATATCAAACCTACATCCACAATAACCTCAATGATCTCCGTCTAGCACACGACAGACTAAGTCTCACTTAACCAGACTCTTTTGGGGGCTTCCTAACAGCACGGGCTCACCAGGACACGAGACGGAACCCCCACACTGGGTCTCTCCGCCCACCTCTACACCTCACCCAGTCCGACCCTCCGATGACATCATCTGCACTCCCCCATTCATCACCACCCCATTCATAACCATTTCTCTGACAATTACATCTTCATTAAATCTTTAAACTGCATTTCGTTGTGGTGTGGTCCTTGCTGGTGAAATGGAGTTAATTGTTTAACTTAGGTTCAGGAGCAGGACCACGCCTCAACCACTCCTCTAATCACCTGACTAACGTATATACCAGCACAGCACTACCACAGGCCTGTCAGATCTCTCGAACCCACCCCCCCCTCTTGTCAATCTGCTGTGTACCTCTCCTCATCTCATTCTAGGCATCGACTGGGGGGGCTTCCTAACAGCACGGGCTCACCAGGACACAAGACGGAACCCCCACACTGAGTCTCTCCGCCCACATCTACACCTCACCCAGTCCGACCCACCAATGACGTCATCTCCATCCCGTTCATTCATCTGCAAATCTGCACTCATTCATTCATTACCACCTCATTCATAACCATTTCTCTGACAATTACATCTTCATTAAATCTTTAAACTGCATTTCGTTGTGGTGTGGTCCTTGCTAGTGAAACAATATTCAATTGAGATGTTTGGCTCATGCTGTTTTTTTCCTTTTTTTTAATGTCAAATCAGATCTTAAACTCATAGATGTTTGTATAATGTACACGTATTTTAATGTCACTGATATCAGTTGTGCAAAGGTTAATGAAATAACTGCCTTATTCATACAACAGTTTGTTCTTGTACTCCCCTTTCCTTTTGGATCATGACTGCAGTAACACAAACATGTCCACTGGAGGAGAAATCCTAATTAACAGTGGACATTCACAGTGCATTCACCAGCTCTGACACCAGATTCCATTATTAGAGCAGGAAGGTTGTGCCTAATTGTAAATACAAATATGATCAAGAGGATGCTCAGAATTCCAAATTACTGTATAGCCTCATTTAAAGGTCCACAGGTGATAATCCAACTGTTCTCTTCAATTGGCTGTTATACTGCTCAATCCCCCATTTGTATGTATTGTCACTTTGGGTAGTACAGCTTGTTGCTCTGCCGAGCTCATTTTACCATGTTGTCCCACTGCTGTCATGTTTGGTAATCGACTCAGAAAGATGCTTGAGGTCCTGAAAGCCTACTCTTGACCAAAAACATTCACAGGAAGAAACGAACCATCTTCTTCTGACAAGCTAACAGTTAGCCATGGTTTCCTGGTGAACCACTCCACGTAAAATCTGCGAAAATTCTCACCAGTGGTTCGGTTTATAATGGCTGGTGGCCGCTGGCGTGTTTAATGTGTCGAAGATAATCCACATTGTTCAGGGTGACCACAGTTACCATCCTCTTCAAAAGTAATATTATTTTCTGTCAACAGTGAGTGATGACAACAGGACTTGGCAAATAGCCAGTTGAATTTAGAGTGGGGCAACAGGCAGTTCCGATTTGGCATCACATTTGTGCCATCTGCTAACAACTGCTGGCTTGTCATAGAAGATGCTTTTTTTGGTTTCTGATCAGGAACAGGTTTTCAGAATCTAAAGTATCCTTCAGAGAGGATTGGCAAAGTAAACATAGGCTACTGTACAGCATGGGTACTGCCCACATAAATTGATGGCACATACAAGTAAGGAATAGTGTTTTTTGTTGTTGTTTTTTTTTCAGAATTTATTGCAGTGATTAAAGGCTCATCAATCCAGACCATTGTTTCTTTCATGCACATCATTTATTTTTTAAATATAAATTACAAAAATTAAGTGACACATACTCAACATAACCATACAAAAAAGAATATAAAGAAATAAAAATAGGGGCGTAGGTGGCTTAGTGGATAGAGCAGATGTCCCATGTACAAGTTTTAAATAAATGAAAATATAGTGATGCATGCATGAGCATGTCATTGGTATTAGCCAATATTGGCTTTAAAATGAACTATCAGAATTGTCCTACATGCTTTTTCTTAATTTACACAATAAATGAATATTACATACATTGAAAAGCATTCTATTTCATGTCTCATCAGCTGGTGGACCATCATAATAAGAGTATGCATGCATAATATGATATTAATTCCACTACAGAAGAGACTTGATGATCACTAAAATTAGGTGGGGAAAAAAGTGGATATATTGATATCTGTACCAGTTATTCACCAAATAAGTTGTAAACTACATCGGCATATTGGATATCTGCAGAAAAATATCCAGTATCGTGCATCCCTAGCAAAGAATTGAACAACAGCAACTTGAGGAGAACAAGTGTTTGCTTAGTTAAATCACCTTAAACTCCATGGGAAATGATGATTATCTTCTATGCATTAAACAACCCAACGGCCACCAGCCATTATAAAGTAAGAACTGAAGACCAATCTTTTCAAAATGGCCTTTGTCCCATCCTAAATTGTCCACTGCTTGTTCCCTGGTATGTTTCTGTCTGAGGCCTCAGTAGCCTGTATTTGCTCTGTTTTACTTACTTTTTGTTGCCTTGTTTTATTGGTTTATTGTCTTTGTTCTTATTGATTGCATGTTTTACATGTGTTTTTGATTACTTGATTGTATTTTGTAAAGCAAATGTGAATTTCTTTTTTGTGAAAGGTGCTATAACAAATACATTTATAATTATTATTTATCATTATAATTATCACAGATTTTACATTTATTGGTTTTCCAGGAAAACATGGCTAACTGTTAGCTTGTCAGAGAAGATGCTTTGATTCTTCTTGGTATGTTTTTCGGAGGGGATGGTACCTGATCAGGACAGGCTTTCAGGATCTCAAGCATCTTTCCGAGAAGGTTACCATACATGAAAACAATGGGACAACATAGTAAAATCGGGCTTGTCTTGAAGAGTAAACATAGGTCACTGTGCAGAATGGGTACCGGCCACATAAACTGACAGCACATACATGCAGAGAATTAGGCAACAGCAAGTAGAAGAGAACAGGTGTGTGCTCAGTTGGATTATCACCTCAAACTCTGTGGGAAATGTGAAATAGCCATTTTGTCAATTGCAATATGGTGTTGGTTTTGCATCTGTCCAAAGTGGGTATGGCCTCACTATTTTTTCCGACTAAAAAGGCCACTGCATAGACATACCGTTATCATACCGTTCATCTTCTGTTTTCCAACCAGCAGAGGAAGCTGAACTGGAGCCAGTCACCCCTGGGAAGCCACAAGTTGAGCTTCAAGATGGGAATAGACGTGTTTTAAATGTATGAAGATGACCTCACAGCAGGGTGTGGAAGGGCGAAACCATACCAATAAGCATTTTTTTTTTTTATAATGATACGAATGCAACACAAGCAACACGGTTTTTGTTTTTTTCCTATGAAGCCCGACAGAGGCAGGCTTTACCCGCTGTAATCATATTCAGTCAAGGCTTCAGTTATGGTAAAATCAACATGTAGCTTCTTTAATTTACAGGAATAAGGCGTTTTATCTTTACCTTAACAATGGACAGCCGTGAACTGTTCAACTACCTCCCCGAAAAATTGTGTCTGCTGTTTGGAGGCTACAAAGAGACAGGAATGCGTCTGACTGACCGCGCTGCTGCATTCCTCTACAACACACACCAGCTCACCATACACACTGTCGTCAATGAAACTGAAAGTCACAGTGTAACCGAGTCCATTTCATTCAGCTGCTCTGACTGCAGCACATTTAACAATCCAGCAGCCGGTGACTTTTGGAAACTTGCCTGTATTTCTCGGATCCTTTAGCAGCTTGTTCATAGTTTGAGGACACATAACATCCTGATCATTTGAAATGAATAGTCTCCAGGCTGTGCCAGACCCAGCTGTTCACTCTATTCCAACACAAAGCCTTTCATGCGCAGTCTTCATCAACTCCTCCAGACTGTCTCACAGAAAGCTCGTTTTTTTCACGAGGACAATGAAATCCAGCAGAGCCCAGCCCGCCACTGTGTCCGCTCTGTAGTCTGTCTGCAGCCGCTTCCAATGGACCAGCATATTATCAAGCCAGCAGCAATTTATACCTCCGCTGAGAGAGACATTGTGTTTTTCAAAATAAAAGAATTACTGGGGCCCCGAACCTAACAACACACCATGGTGTATCCATTCCCGGAGCAGTTAGAAAATGTCCTGTTATCATCCAAACGCAGTGGAGGAAAATAACTGCACATTTATTCAAGTTGTTTAAATATATATATATAGAGAGAGAGAGAGAGAGAGAGAGAGAGGGAGGGAGAGAGAGAGGGAGAGAGAGAGAGAGAGAGAGAGAGAGAGAGAGAGAGAGAGAGGGTTTGTGTCAAAGCCCCAACATTACTCATTCTCCTTTAAAAGAAAGTAAAAAGACAGTTTTTAAAAGACAGATTTTACATAGGCCTACTGCAGTGTAATTAAAGATAGCTACTATACTTTGCACTTTCTTTCTACTCGATTACATGCCACTCGGCAACAGTTAGCTACTATACTAGGTGTTTATCAGATAGTGCTGTCGCAACATTTATGGATTTATTCCATGGACATTAAATTTAACACCATGTCCCTCTGTAACTGAGGCAAGTCCGGGGGTATCACGCTCCAGCACATTTTTGCCATAGATAGAGCTGACAAATAAAGGTCACTCACTCATTCACTCACTCGCAGGATGTGGGGACGCTGTGTGAGTGCCCTATAGAGGGTGTCAAAAGGGTCAGGGTATGGTCAGGGTACCTTCAGGCAGTTCGTTTTTTCGTTTTAAACCAAAAACGAAAAAAAGGAAATACCATGGTTTTCCCATTTTTTCCTTTTTGGTTTAAAACGAAAAAACGAGAAAATGGAGCCGTTTTTTCTGTTTTTGTTATCAGAATCAAAAAACGAAAAATGACAAAACCAAATTCAAATAACAGCCCGATTTTGGATTTTTGCACATTCATTTTTTCATCTATTGTTTTGGACACAAAGTAGAACGGCGGTGACATCAGAGGCGGAAGTAACTTCAAAATAAAAGACAGGAAAATAAGATTGCCTATAAAACTTAAAAATATCCTATAAAACTTTCCCATGTATCTTTTATTTCCACTTACACCTGATGTTTTGCGCATTTTGAAAAGCTGACTGCCATTGCTGTGAGGAACTTTTTATTCATAAAAATAGAAATAAAATGTTATGATAGCAAATTTTATGGCTACAGTAAAACTTGTTGTTCAACCATAACGTTGCTGTTCAGAGACTAGTAAGGGAAATCGTCATGCATATTGTTCCCATGAAGGATGTTTAGGGATTCCCTCAAAGGTTGTGTTTTAATATTCATTCGCCGAATTGTTTGCAGTAAAGTAATCGAGGATATAATAAATTATTGTGTGTGTTGCGTTGTTTTCTCCATAACGCATTGTTGCGTCAGTGAAGTGTCAAACTGATGTTTGTCCTTTTTACCAGCAGATGGCAGTAGGCCTATGGATTTATTTGCTGTCATTGAATGCCTGGTTTTCTTAGTTTCTGTTGGATTATACAGACCTGCAATTCTTCAGGTTATTGATATGGACAATTCAAATTATATGCAGCATATATTTACTTGAATTCTTTTATATTGTTGTATCACATAGGCCTATGCATTGTTGTCAGAGATGGGCAGCATTTTAATTACATGTATTTAAAATGTTTTATCACCTACTATAACAATAGAAATGTCATACAAAAATACATCCTGTGCCTTCTTTCAAAATCTGATTAATCGAATAAAATAATCAATGATTAATCCATTATTTTTTAAAAATATACAAATTAGTGGCAGTCCTAACTGTATGCAACACATCTGATTCATATTATTTTAACCTGTTAGTGTTTCTTGCAATGTCCCTCACAAATAAACTAATAAATACATGAATACAAACACCTTAGCTACAATTGCACATTAGAATGTGATGAGGAACCTTTAATGTTCATATGAAGGCAAGTGAAGGAGCTGCTATGTTATGTTCTAATAACCTTTCCTATATTAATTTAAACTTTTTTATGTCAACCTCCCAATGAGGTACAGTTTCCTCATCGCTGCCCTTTGCATTGAGGCCCTCCAGACTGGACTGCTATGGACCGCTTCGTCTTTGGTTAGCAGTCCGTCGACCGCCAGTAAAACAAGGAAGAAGCAGCCACCGAAAAACAACGAAAAAGCCACCGAAAAACAACTCACCTGATTTAGACAATGCAAATTTTTTGGAACCCACCTCTTAAAAGAATCAGAACAGGAATCGTTAAAATTCAAACAATGCCTGATCCTAGTGCTTTTTTTTTAAAAAAAAAAAATCGATTCACATGAAAATTGCGATTCTTTTCTTCAACGATTCCGAATCGATTCATTAATGCAAAGAATCAATTAAAAAAAAAAAAAAGCACCAGGATCAGGCATCGTTTGAATTTTAATGATTCCTGTTCTGATTCTTTTAAGAGGTGGGTTCAAAATGTTTGCATTGTCTAAATGAGGTGAGTTGTTTTTTGGCGGCTTCTTTGTTGTTTTTTGGCGGCTTCTTCGTTGTTTTTCGGTGGCTGCTTCTTCCTTGTTTTACTGGCGGTCAACGGACTGCAAACCAAAGACGAAGCACGGATGAAAATTGTTTACAAACTGTTTAGGGGAATCGAAATGAAAACTTTTTAATGATTCTGATGAAATTAAAATGTTAGAACAGGTTCAATTCGATTCTCGATGCCCAACCCTAAGCAGCACTTTTAATTTATTTTTTGATAACTTGAATCTATTATTCTTGAAGTCACTGAGAACTGAGTTTTCATTTGTGCAAGTTAAGCATGAAAAAATGTTACCTTTTGTCTTAAGTTTGCCTTTGTATGTTTGATTATTGCAATCAGTTGATTTGACTTTTTCAAATACAAAAATTATATAATTTTGTACATACTTTACTCTGCTTTCATGCCATAATTTTTCACAGTGTCTCTCTTCGTGCACAGCAGACTGGAGTAGAAATTAAACACCCCTATGTACTGAATCAAGAATCAATTTTTGAACCGGGAATCGTTTTGAATCAAGAATCGATTTTGAATCAAATCGTGACCCCAAGAATCAAAATGGAATCGTGAAGTATCCAAAGATTCACATCCCTAGTCATCATGGCTCAGGCAGGATGAAGATGGGGCCTCCGCGCAGTATGTGCTGTTCCTGAGAATCACCAGTCCAAACCTCCCGGCGGACACGTCCCCAGCAATGCTGAGCACAGTGAGAGTCTCCTGACCGTTTCATTTTTAATTCCAGCCAGGACAAAACAGGAGTTTTTTTTTTCTTGTGTTCATTGAAAAGTAAAGATTTGTTAAAGATTTGTTATCAAACTGCTTGTGGTCCCCACTTTACGCATGTTGTGGTCAACACAAGCCTGGCCTTAATACTTTAACTGGTACACACTATATTTTGAATCTGTCATTACTGTGCCACTTCAATATTATTCAGTTTGGATCATTAGATTAGTTATATTCAAAGTATAAACAAACTGAGAAGCGTAAGGGTGACAATGCTGCTAGCATCATTCTATAGGACTATTTAAACAAATACAACACAGACATCAATACAGCTGCTTGGTTTTATGGACTTGCAATCACATCCAGGTCATAAATGATAACATAGTTGTACTTTTTAATCCCAGTTTTCATGAAGTGGATATTTGTCGAGGCTCACTGTTGCAAGACTATGTTATCCCAGTACAGGTCAGGCCCAGCAGTAAGGAGGACCACCCTACACTCCGTCCATAGCAGTCCAGTCTGGAGGGCCTCAATGCAAAGGGCAGCGATGAGGAAACTGTACCTCATTGGGAGGTTGACATAAAAAAGTTTAAATTAATATAGGAAAGGTTATTAGAACATAACATAGCAGCTCCTTCACTTGCCTTCATATGAACATTAAAGGTTCCTCATCACATTCTAATGTGAAATTGTAGCTAAGGTGTTTGTATTCATGTATTTATTAGTTTATTTGTGAGGGACATTGCAAGAAACACTAACAGGTTAAAATAATATGAATCAGATGTGTTGCATACAGTTAGGACTGCCACTAATTTGTATATTTTTAAAAAATAATGGATTAATCATTGATTATTTTATTCGATTAATCAGATTTTGAAAGAAGGCACAGGATGTATTTTTGTATGAATTTTCTATTGTCATAGTAGGTGATAAAACATTTTAAATACATGTAATTAAAATGCTGCCCATCTCTGCCAACAATGCATAGGCCTATGTGATACAACAATATAAAAGAATACAAGTAAATATACAGTACAGGCCAAAAGTTTGGACACACCTTCTCATTCAATGCGTTTTCTTTATTTTCATGACTATTTACATTGTAGATTCTCACTGAAGGCATCAAAACTATGAATGAACACATGTGGAGTTATGTACTTAACAAAAAAAAGTGAAATAACTGAAAACATGTTTTATATTCTAGTTTCTTCAAAATAGCCACCCTTTGCTCTGATTACTGCTTTGCACACTCTTGGCATTCTCTCCATGAGCTTCAAGAGGTAGTCACCTGAAATGGTTTCCACTTCACAGGTGTGCCTTATCAGGGTTAATTAGTGGAATTTCTTGCTTTATCAATGGGGTTGGGACCATCAGTTGTGTTGTGCAGAAGTCAGGTTAATACACAGCCGACAGCCCTATTGGACAACTGTTAAAATTCATATTATGGCAAGAACCAATCAGCTAACTAAAGAAAAACGAGTGGCCATCATTACTTTAAGAAATGAAGGTCAGTCAGTCCGGAAAATTGCAAAAACTTTAAATGTGTCCCCAAGTGGAGTCGCAAAAACCATCAAGCGCTACAACGAAACTGGCACACATGAGGACCGACCCAGGAAAGGAAGACCAAGAGTCACCTCTGCTTCTGAGGATAAGTTCATCCGAGTCACCAGCCTCAGAAATCGCAAGTTAACAGCAGCTCAGATCAGAGACCAGATGAATGCCACACAGAGTTCTAGCAGCAGAC